GTTCAAACATCAAAACGTTCAGCTCGATCGGGAATAGATTGCTATTACTTTTCTCATTCATACATTTCATAATTCCAGAGATACATCCCATAATTCATCACATTTTTAACATGGAAGTGAATGGAGAAACTCTTCAGACTTGAACAATCTTCATGCAACTTCAACTGCCAACTGCTCCTTTATACTTTCACTCAGAAACCTCATTCCAACTTACACATCTTTCTGACATTATTCATGTTAAACAACTTTTAAATCAGATTCATAGTTTTAGAAATATTAAACATTGTTCAGACCTTGGTAAAAAGGCCTTCTTCAGATTTTAACATTAGTGTGTATTGCGCAGCTCGTTAAGGCTAGAGTGCGTGATGTCACAGCTAGAGTGGAGGACAGCTTGAAATTCGCCTTCATATATATTTTTTAACCTGCCATAATTCCCAAACCCTACACTCCTGAGACATAATTTTTCATGAGAAACGTAGGAAAACATCTCGCAGCTTCAAAAAGGGAAAAAAATGAAGCAAACAAATTAAACAAAATGCCTCTTGAGGGCATGAAGTGACAACAACTTTCAACATGTCTCCATTAAACCCCATTGTAAGTTCAGCCTCATCTTTCCCCACCACAGCAGGCACACCTTTTAGTTAATCTGCCAAAAAGTACACAAAACGCACACTTCAGATGCTCAGAGTTCTTGAGATGCTTCACGCTTTGAAATGTCACCGATATCTGTTACGGTTCTTCAACAAAACGTTCACATGTAAGAGGTTTATCTCTCATTCAGAACAATGCAAATGCTCTCCTCTCACTGATTACTGCACATCACCATGGAAACCTTTGATCTCTGGACACGTCGTTAGCTCAAATATAAACACCTGTGTCATGGAACACGATGATGTCATAACTCCAACTGACATGCTCAGAGCAGCAGACTTCAGATAATGGTTAATGGTCCAGCCTTCAACATGTCTATGTGCCATTAGTGAGTTTTCCTCAAAAGCTGTTGCCATGGCAACGCATCCCTCGCCGTAAAACACAATATTGCTATAACTCCTATGAGATGGTCAAAAAGTGCTCAAACTTCACATGTGTGCTAACAGTCCAGCCGTGAAGTCATCTATTTGACAGTTTTAAGATTTCTTCAAATGCCGATGCCTTGGCAACAATGCTCACTATGAAACACGGTTTTCTCACAACTTCAGTTCAAATGCTCGAAATGGCCCAAAACTTCACAGGTTTGGTAACGATGCAGCCATCAACACATCTAAGCGTATTATGGGGGGTCATCAAATGCCGTTGCCACGGCGACAGATCATGCGCCATCAAGTTAGTTCAGAAGTTTGCAGTTCAAATATTCTGCTGCTTTTCCAAGCCTTTTTACTTTCTTTTCTTCTCTCATCACACATTCAAGCCCCCAGTGTTCATGTATCATTTCAATCTAAATCAAATTCTTCACTTTCTTCTTACACATTACATTTCAGCATAGCAATTCAGCGTCAGCTTTTCAGCATAAAGCATTCCCACTAGCAATTTCTTTGCATTCTCTAGTTCCTGGATGTTGCCCTGTGAAAACAAACTCCTGAGTCACAATGTGTTTTGTGTGGAAGAGCCTTAAACTGTCAGTGAGTTGCATCCTTGTATTTTCCAAAAAGTGCCTTTCAATCAGCATTTTTGGATATGTGACGCCACCATAACAAATGCCTTGATGCCAAGTTGAGGCCAAAACTCAAGTGGTGATACTTGTCTTTCATATATGAGGTTTCTTTTGAGTTACATAATGATGGTTTCAATTCTTTATTTAGTCAAAAGTATTGGGCGAATGTACATTATAACGTTATCATGATTTGTTGTAATCTTGAATAGACCCAATTGTTTGAAGGACATGTTTCACGGCAATATTAGATGTTAGAGAGTCATCATATTTCACAATCCCTCTGATATTGTCCACATTTGTTTTATTGAAGCAGGCTTTACAGTTGTGGATATTCCTCCACCCTGCAAGCTTTTGGGGGGTGACACCCTCAGGGGCTCCTGGTCTTTGAAGTCTTTGTAGTGTTGTATATAATTAAGGAAAAACGGTGGTGCTTTGATTGTAATGTATACCTTCAAATAGGGGAAACTCTATGTGATTGCAGTGATGTAAGTCAGCCGGAGGCAGTAAAAACATTATGTTCACCTGTGATCATAAAACCAGACCTTTGTCACTCAGGAAGAATCAAAAGAAAGCACCGGTGCAAGTTCAGGTTTCGCCTTGTAGCATTTAATTCAACCACTTTGATGATCATACTGTATTAGTCCCTTTCAAAGGAAACTGTGATTTCCCTTTTGTGGTCTAGGAGTAATTGGTTAATGAGGGACTCTGATCAAGGGTACTTGACTCTTTAATGAATACATTATTTACACAAAACATATTGAGACACCAATTTCCATTTTAATGAAAATGTTATAGATACGTGTAGGGCAATTGAGCTAGAAACCCAGTTTTAAAAGATAATAGTGAAGACGTGGCAGTAAAATGCTTATGTGAGTCACTGCTAAAGTCTGAAGGATTATTTTAGATACCTTTTTTGCCTTCATTATGAATTTGTTACAATGTTATTGTCTGCATATTCCACAGTTTTCTCCTGGGCTCAAAGACCAAGCTCATCTTTTCCCACAGAAGGCTGAAACTTTAAAAACAGTTTACCAATATATAGTTTAATTATTTAAAATAGCTAAGTAATATACTAACAATGCTGGCTAAAGTAGTTTTTCTTTTGAAGCAGAGAGCTAAAGTTAAGTTTTTTTAAAGTTAAATTAAACCACAAGTTCAAAATAATCCAAAAGGCGGGATTCAGCTATGAAAGAGTATAAGAGCCACTGAAAACAAAATAATAATAATAAAGTCATAATATTCTGAGAAATAAGTCACACTTCATTAAGTCACTCTGAGTCATGTGGACTTCCTACTGTATGTCTGACAGCTCTGTGTCGCTGACAGACTTATCAATGGAGAGTTGAAGCGTTTCAGAAATGGAGACAGAATGTTGCTAATGGTTTAGCCTCGTGAGCTAACGTTAGCCTCACGTTAATGTCACGGTTGAGGCGGCTTAGCAGTTAGCGCGTGAAATACCTGCACCAAACAGCCTGTAATGTCTCTCTCTCTCTCTCACTTTCTCTTTCACTTTCTCTCTCTCTCTCTCTCTCTCTCTCTCTCTCTCTCTCTCTCTCTCTCTCTCTCTCTCTCTCTTGACATCACTGTACATTCCTGCAGTCACTCTGGTGATTTCATGGCCCTTAACCAAACACAAAGACTCTGTTATGGCTCTGAAATAATTCTCTCTTTCTCTCCCATTCCTTCTCTCCCTTGTCATCTATTTCTTCCTCTTCATATTCACACTTTCACCCACACATCCTGTGTTTGTGTGTGTGTGTGTGTGTGTGTGTGTGTGTGTGATGCTGAAAAAGAGTGTGACAGTTCTTCCTCTTTTTGTCTATCGATGTTTGCGCTGCTTTTCACAAATACATACATTAGGATACTGTAAGAGAATGGCAATATATTTAAGAATTTTGGAAAACTGTCATAGTATCAAGAACACACCATATGCCTTAAGTCTCGGCTACAAAAATGTATAATTTTGTGTAGTTATGCTACTTCCTGTTTCAGTTTACGCTGTTACATTGAAGCTTAAGATAGATTACAACACTGCCTTAAACACAACACCAAAGGGAACACTGCTGCCACAAATTATCCATTTAAAAAAGGCAAGTTATTTTTGAGAATCAAAATCATATCACAGGTCATGATACATGTTTCTTACACACACACACACACACACACACACACACACACACACACACACACACACACACACACACACACACACACATCTCTTTGTTGTGGGTTAACTGCGAAGATAGAACCAGGCGCTGTTACACTCCTCTGTAAGGGAGACAAAGAGAGCTTATCTCTCTGTGTGTGTGTGTGTGTGTGTGTGTGTGTGTGTGTGTGTGTGTGTGTGTGTGTGTGTGTGTGTGTGTGTGTGTGTGTGTGTGTGTGTGTGTGTGTGTGTGTGTGTGTGTGTGTGTGTGTGTGTGTGTGTGTGTGTGTGTGTGTGTGTGTGTGGTGTGTGTGTGTGTGTGTGTGTGTGTGTGTGTGTGTGTGTGTGTGTGTGTGTGTGTGTGTGTGTGTGTGTGTGTGTGTGTGTTCCAATGTACTCATTTAATTTGGCATTGCAATTTCTTACGAGCTGCAAGCTGATAGCTTATTATGTGTATGAGTGTGTTCTTTGGCATGTGTGTGTGCTGTAAGGGACACCAGGGCCAGCATGACATACTTCCGCTTTAAAAATGTCCTCACAGAGGTTAGTGGACGGCAAAACAAACACACTTTATGGCGAAGGAGGCAATATTTTTGAAAAATGCATTAAATAATTCAAAACTGTACTTTAGTGTGTGTGTGTGTGCCAACATCCTTCAGATAGACTGTAAAATAGGAGAGATGGTGTCGGCAGGGGTCAGTTAGTTTTGCGCTGAGTGCAGGGTGGGATGGGTGGGGTATTTTTTGCTGCTGCTTCCCTTTGTACACACACACACACACACACACACACACACACACTTGCATGGGCCGCTAACACAGCGACACAATGAGCAGGGCCTGGCTGGAGCAAGGTGTTTCCTGTGACCTGAATGACTGCTGCGTCACCACAAACAACACTTGTATGAGTTTGCAGAAGTGTGTGTGTGTCTGTTAACAGATTTGACTCTCTCCTCTTTCAATTTGCCTTCATTTATTTCTCCTTGTATAAATGTGTGAATGTGTGAGTGTGTGAGTGTAATGTTCATCCTTTATTCATGTATTCCAGTGTTTGTGCGGTGAATGAATATTAGATTAAAAGCAGCTCTACATTATTCATGAGCTGAGATATTTTGGATTGTACAGAGACGTCCTGAATCCCACTCCTGCTTTTTCAGTCCATTTACTGAGCCTTAATGTTATGTATGCGTTTGTGTGTGTCCCACAGGCTGCACTTGCCCTGCTATGGAAAAGATGAAGAGAATAAAGAAGCGCCTTTCGTTAACTCTGCGCTCCAGTCAGACCATCGACGAGTCTCTGTCTGAGCTGGCCGAGCAGATGACCATCGAGGACGGCGGCACCAAGGACAATGGTAAGAAATCAACGGATCTGGTATGCATTTTGAAAACAAGTCTGTATAAGAAAGAAATTGTATACACAGGATGGACATTTTTGCTTAGAGTCTCTGGTGTATTCCAAGCAGCTTATGTTAATGTAGTTCTTTTTTATTTCTTTTTTATAATTTGTATATACATATATATTATTTTATTATTATACTATTTATTTTATGTATTATTATTTCGGTGTTATTTTTTTATTCATTTTTTTATTTGTATTATCTTTATATACGTATATTTTTGTAAATGTTATTATTTGGGTGTATTTTTATTATTTGGGTGTATTTTTATTATTTGGGTGTATTTTTATATACATAAATAATTTGTTATTATTGTTATATTATTTAAATTTATTATTATTTGGGTGTTTTATTTTTTATTTAATTAATTTTTATTTTCCTTTAGTGTAACTCGGAAAACAAACAAAATGGCGGACAAAGCATGTTAAAAACGAATTTGCTCCTCCTTTAAAAAGCTACAACCAATGTTCTCCAATATTGACCCCGTATGAGGATGTCATTTGTCTGTCATAGCGGGGAGACAGCTACAGGACAAAGAAGGAAAGAGTGCAAATCTAAATATTAAACGAGAGCAATGACGCATCTTTAAACTCAATTCTTGTGTACGTAACATTTGAAATGGAGAAAACCAACAATATATTGATTTACCATGTTGGTATCCGATTTTGGTTATTGGAGATTTGTGATGCATCCTCAGATCCTGCGCAGTTTTCGGAGCAGCAGAATGATGCGACTTGTTGTGTTTCAGAGCCCTTCATGAGGAACGGCCGCCCCCCCACCTCCCACAGCATGCACTCCTTCCTGCACCAGTACACCGGGTCCTTCAAGAAGCCTCCACTCCGCCGGCCGCACAGCGTCATCGGCGGCTCCCTGGGGTCCTTCTTGGCAATGCCACGCAACGGAAGCCGCCTGGGTGAGACATACTGTTCACACACACACACACACACACACACACACACACACACACACACACACACACACACACACACACACACACACACACACACACACACACACACACACACAAAAAATAGGAAGTGAGTAGTGAAAGCACAGATGGCATGCGGGAACAAACAGGAAACGTGTCATGGTGCTGAGATTTCCGTCCGACGACATATATAATCGGAAACGTGCTCCTGGCCAGTGACTTGGTTTATTTCCTATTAGCCAGTCGGACTGTCTACCCCAACGGACAGCTGGATGGGGGGCGGGGGTTTAAGCCAAACATGACGCAACTGATTAATCACACTCAATTCGTAGCTGTGAGTCTCAGCCTAAAGGCGACAAGACAATATGATTCATAGGACAGTATGAAACAGAGAAGCAAAGTGTTGTGGCGATCCAAATCTACCAGAATAGGTAGAGCTTCACATTTGAAAGTCACTTGCAACTGCTACTTAAAAACAACAAAATATCCTGTTGGAGGGTATTCGTTTTGATTGACAGTCGAAGATCCCGGAGTCCAAACCGATAATCGTCAATTAAAAGACGTGGTTGAACTCAAGACCAAAGTAGGGTTCCTGTGTTTAGCTTACCAACTTCTTGGTGAAACCCTGAAGGGTTATACATGAAATGATTTCTAAATGGTCTGTGCATAGATTTCAAAAGTGTCTGAGTGGTATTTTCAGACCCTCACAAAACGTCCCCCTGGTACCTGAAACGTCTCTATTGTAGCCCTTTGTTTACTTCCCTAACATAGCGACATCACTATGTAACACTCACGCTTCTATTGGCTAGCACTCCAACACATTGTACATGACAGACTAATGCTGCGTTCACACCGGACGCGATGCGAATATTCGCTTCGCATTCCAATCGCTCAAGTTTCACCGCGGCTTGCAGTTTGTTTTATGGCGTCATTCAAAACAAACATACCGTTGACAGCCACAACGATCATCTCTTCCATCTTTACAACTGATCAACAGCAGCACGTCAGAGGGAATCCCAACGCTGATTGGCTTCCGCGAGAACGCTCCACGTGAATTTGACGCTCGAGTTGAAACATTTTAACTCTCGGGTTTGACGCGGCACCGTTCAATCGCCTGATTCGCGCCGCGTCCACCGCTTCATGCTCGCCGTCGGAGCGAATTCGCGTCTGTCCGCGTCTCTGCATTGACTTTACATGTAATTGCGCCGCCTCCAAACATCGCATCGCGTCCGGTGTGAACGCAGCACAAGGGGTAGGACATCTCTAAGCGGTTGACTAATCACAACAGAGCCTTCCAGCTAACCAATCAGAGCAGACTGGGCTCAGCACAGGCAGTGAAAAAAAAACCTTTTTGAATATTAAAGGTGGGGTAGGTAATTTTGGAGAAACCAGCTCGAGTGCGCTAGAATTTGAAAATACACAGCCGGAACAAATCTGCCACTTCCTTACAGAGCCCCTCCTCCAACACACACGAACGCGCACATGACCAATGAGGGCACGAGATAAGTTTGTGCACTGATGGAAGGCTGACAGGCAGGTAGGCCATCCAGTTACTTTAGCCGGGCCGGCTAAAATGATTGGTCGTGCTTTTTACAGTAGCCCACTACGGCTTCCACAGATGACATTTTTTATGGATTTTTTGTCAAAGCATTTAAGATATTCATTGCTATCGGGATGTTAAGAGCATTCCATGGAATATAACAAAAAGTGTATCTCGAGCCGGTTTCTCAAACGTACCTACCCCACCTTTAAAGCATGGAGACATGACACAGTAGAGGCACAAAATACAAATATGAACCTGAAAATGAGCGTAATAGGGCCCCTTTAAAGCAAACACTGAGTTTTAAGCCTATTATTACTCATTTTCAAATCGGCATTTTTTTTTTCAGATTGACTGTTACCTTATCTATTTAAGAAAACTGTCAGGTGTTCGATTTATAGTCATCATTGCTTTCCCAGCCTATATGATTACATGTTTGAAGGCAGCGACACACTAAAAGACCTGTTCTGGACCCTGACCTAGATAGAGGGACTTGGATCAGAAAACAGGAAGGTTAAGTAGGACTTTGATGAACCACATACTGCTGCTACCATCTGTGTACTTATTAGCAAAGCTTCTAGATACAAGCAGAGAGAATGTGTCAGTATAAAATTATCAAAAAAAACTGGTGAAGAATCAAATTCTCAGAAGTTTTAAGGGAGAGCGAAATAGAGGCAAGAGAGGATAAGAGATGAGCAAAAAATAAAACGAGTTAGTGCACTAGAAAACAGCTTTGGGGCTTTTTGAAGAGAGGGAATCTGGTTTGGCTGTTAGGGCAGAAAGTGAAAATATTATTTGAACAGAAAGAATTTAGGAGTTTTTGTAGGAAATGAGGAAATAAATAAAGTAGCGTGACAGAAGTACGAAGAATGTGAAAGTGAAAGGAGCTTGACAGGAGAAAGAAGTAGGACAGATGCAGCTTAGGAGACGAGGCACACATGTTAGAAACACACAGGTAACAAAGGAATGTGTTAAAGCAACAGGGAGAATCACAACAGCAAATTCCTAAGAAAACCTGCATATGAGATAAGAAGATACGAGCCAAGGAGAAATATGTGGATTGAAAGGGAAAGACATGCAGAACAGGGAAGTGAAAGAAATGGCTACGGTTATCTGAAGATGGGCAAAAACATGCAAATGAGAGAGAAACAAGTGACAGAAAATGAAGAAGGAAAGCGGGGCGGGAATAAGAAAATGACCACAGAAAGAGGAAGTGGATATCACTGTGAGGTTTTAATCTGTTTAAGCTCCTAATGTATCAAAGCAACACAAATTCAAAATGTTAAGGCTCAGGATGTAGATGGTCATCCTCCAATCAGAAGCGGTTTAATCCCCAGTCCCTCAGTCAACATGTAGATGTATCCCTGGGAAAGATACTTAACCTCAAATACCTCCTGACGGTGTGTGTGTCTGTGTCATTGGGAGCAGGTAGCACCTTGAATGGTAGCCTGGTGAATGCTGAGTTGTATATATAAAAAGCGTTTTGAGGGGGTCGTATATATTATTTTACAGACCAAATGGTGGATGGATTCATTGGAAAATAATTGAATCCATTGTACCGCACATGTGAAATCCACAACCCTTTATTTATACCTATCCAGAGGAAAAGGAAGGCTTCTGTTTCAACACATAAATAATGAAAATATGGTAAAACAGAGTTGGGATATTACTGAATAAGTCTTCATGGAAAATGTCTCGATACTTTCTTACTACTGCGTCATTATAAACTACTGTGATTGTAAAGGTGTTACCGTAATATCAGTCAACCAGACAGACTGGTTAGGTCAGATTTGAATGAAAGAGACACCTTAATGCAGATTTGTCCAATATTCCTTTATTTATTATTCATAATTTTTGTCATTGTGTTTTAGATATCGTGCATGAGAACCTGAAGATGGGCTCCGACGGGGAGAGCGACCAGGCGTCAGGGACGTCTTCAGACGAGGTGCAGTCTCCCACCGGCGTCTGTCTGAGGAACCGCATCCACCGGAGGATCTCCATGGAGGTGAGACTACTCATGCACACAGTCACTCAGAACAGCTGACTGCATTCGCCCCTCGGCCTCATGGGAGATCTGAATGTGCCTTCCTGCTGGCATTGAAACACCTGCTCAACTTCAGATCATCAATCATAGCTTCATCTCCTTTGCCCTTATGCCCTTTTTAAACATGTTTAGTATTTGTAGTGAAGTACTAATATACTACACAGATGTTACAGAAGTCTCCATACCCTCCTCTTCATCATTTCCATGATGTTTATCATTTCAGGATTTTTTTTTTTTTTTAAATAACAGCAGCTGCTTTTTAAATACCCAAAGCGTCTCAGATGATAAATAGACTTCAGGGACCCATATGGTACGCTAGACACTTTTACAAGCTCAGCAAATACAATGGGAACATGATAATTAAATAAAACTCCTTATGATTATCAGGTGGCTCACATTCCTGCTACTTTTCTAATTTCACAGTGGCTTTGGTATGACAATTCAGACACATTCTGGCTGTGAGCCACCATGAATTTCTCAATCATCGGCTATATTGTGTCATACAAACCATTATATAAGCTGAGAAATAGTGGTGAATCTCTTTTCTGCTAATAACAAATGTTAGATTTTGGCTTCACATTGCATGAGTTCCAATCAAATCATCTTCAGCCTTATAAATATTGACCCTGAGGGTAGTTTGAATAGGCATGAGCGTCCTAACCTTGAGGCTCATGCCCCCTGCTGGCAGAGGATTGACCGTGACATATACAACCATTAAGTCATTCTTATTAATATTGTAAAACAAATATATATATATATATATATATATATATATATAACAATCTTAGGGGGACCCATCTAGTGTTTAATACCCATATACCCACATCACCTCCATTATCATAGCCATGTTTGTCCAATAGCTTGATTTGTTGAAAAATTGTAAATTGTACAAATATGTTTGCAATTATGCTAATAACAATAATTTATGATTATTGGAGCCAAATATAGAGTTTAGACATTTCAAATCAAATCGGCTGGACCCAAAGGCTATATTTAAGCATTTTAACAATGAAATGAATATCAATGAATTCGCCTTTGACAAACCTTTTGATCTATACTTTCAAAACGTTTTTTTACTTGGGTGACAAAGTGCTTCACAAAGAACCTTTAATAAAATAAAATAGAAATGCTGAGAGGACAGACACAATTACATAATGAGAGTTTAATTGAAACCCCTCAGTTGTCATCAAAGCTGTTCTCAGAGCAGCGTTGTCATAAAGGACAAAGCACTGCTGTTTATTTCTGGAGATGCCACGCTTACTCTTAACAGATGTGCTCTATTTTTACTCCACTCGTCTTTATTTTTCCCACATCAGATGTTGTCTCATGTTGCTCCTAGAATAGATATGGTCAGTCACCCTCGAAAAGATATGAGCCCAGTGATATTGACAATGACGGCTTGTGTTGTGAGTACAGACTGAGAATAATATATATTACTATTAATAGACGATCGTTTTGTCTGTACTCCTTATAGAATAGAATAGAATTGGAGGGATGAAACCCCTCTTTAATGGAGGTGAACTGGGACCTCTCCAAGTAGCAGTCCACCCTCCATATTTAGGTCTGTTCGGTCCAAGCCCCTACTGACTGAGCCACTGTCAGACTACAAATTAAAGAGCCTACAAATGGAAACCAGACCACTTCCTTTACCAAAGTTTTGTCCTGCTGCCGTCAGATTCTGCAGTCACATGCAGATATCAGCTGTTCATAGTCATCATCACTACAAACATGTTAAATGAAAAGCTAGTTGCAACTCTTTAAAAAAACAAATGTATGTGCGTTTGCTTGTAGGACCTCAACAAGCGACTGTCGCTGCCGGCTGACATCCGAATCCCCGACGGGTATCTGGAGAAGATGCAGCTCAGCAGCCCGCCCTTCGACCAGCCGCTCAGTCGACGCTCCCGCAGAGCCTCGCTGGTCAGTGTGTGTGTGAATCTCTCCCCGTGTACAGGTCACCATGGCAACAAGCCGTGTGTGATGGATGAATCTCGAGTCACAAGTGCTGACCTCTTGTCTTTGGCCCATCAAAGTAGTTTAACACACACCCAGCTGTGGTGTGATCAGGCAGTCATGTTGCACACTGTCAGCAACATGGAGGCTTATGTAAATCAGAAGTTTGCAAACAGTGAGACATAGGCTTAAAAAGTAAAACAAATTGGTACTGTTTTTGATTCTCTCTCAAGGGACAAGATATTTCTCTTGGCCACTTTGATCCTGCCATACCCTAAAGAAGCTTAGTTTGCCATAGATGATAGTAGAACACGTTTCATGTCTGACACTGTAAGACTCGTGGTTTTCATTTCTAAAAAAAACATGAATCACTACAAATTAGCACTTCCTGTTATTAATTTATCCATGTTTATGCAGAGTCAGACTACTATCTCTGTGTTACCAAAGAAAATGTCAAATTGGGATAATTCTCTGGCAAGATTTTGAGTTCTAGGACTTTTTTTCCATTGATTCTTTACCAACTCATGTCAAACTGAATCTAAAAATATGTATTGCATCAATGTGTATTAAGATTTAAGTGGCATAGGATTCACAGGGGTGATATTTCAAAGCAAATTTAGGGGAATTGGAGTAAAGGGTTTTAAAGTACCTCAAATGCCTCTCTGACAGAAAGCCTGGAGCTGATTTGTTTACATCATCGTTCAACACTCGCATACAATCCACTATAGAATAGGCTCAGATTGAGGCCCACAGAACCCAGAATGGGACTTTTAACCTAATCTCTGTCTTGTGTCTTTTCCTCAGTCAGAGATTGGTTTCGGCAAGTTGGAAACGTACATAAAGCTGGACAAACTGGGAGAGGTGAGGAATTCTTTAAATTGCATCTGATGCTTTGAAATAACAAAATATGTTTCACAGCGCACAATGATCAATGATTCAGGGATGATTGAGAAATATGTGTTGATTTCAGGGAACATACGCGACGGTATTTAAAGGACGCAGTAAGCTGACGGACAACCTGGTGGCGCTGAAGGAGATCCGGCTGGAGCACGAGGAGGGAGCGCCATGCACCGCCATCAGAGAAGGTGAGCAACAACTGTCCCAATTTACAGCTTTTACCAACTAAATGTATGATATGTTTGTCCTTATAATGATCACAGACTGGAAGTGGACATTCAATTCATCCCACGCAATCAATTTAAAGCCAGAAAACGCAATCAATAACAATTTTCTGTTACTTTCTGTAAACATATTTTTGTTTTCTCTGTAGTGTCGTTACTGAAGGACCTCAAACACGCCAACATCGTGACACTTCATGACATCATCCACACTGAGAAGAGCCTCACACTCGTCTTCGAATATCTGGTAACACTCAGTGTGATTTGTTTTGCCCAACCTCATATATTCCTATTGAGTACCAAACATCATTACAAATGTTAAGGTCTTTCATTGATGTACTTTACAGGGGTTGAAAAGTCTACATATATGATATATATAAGTATTAGGAAATGATCTGAAGTGAAACAGAAAGAGAATGTTAAAATTAGCAGAAACAAGAGAAATGTGCTGCATTAGCATTGGAATTTGCGATGTGTTAGTCAGAAAGGCAAAGTATTTTCAGAAAGAAGAAGATCTCTATCTGTCATTTTGTCTTCTTCCTGTCTCATGGCGTCATCTCTCCTTGTAGGATAAGGACCTGAAGCAGTACATGGACGACTGTGGAAACATAATGAGCATGCACAATGTGAAGGTGAGGACTTATCTTAATTAAGATGGGACTGCATTGTGTTTTAGAAGATGCAATATTTAAAACAAAGTCACTACAGTTAATGCGTTTTTGAGCAGCCCTTTTCAAATGAAATTGCAATTATCCAGTCTATCATAAGAAAGTATATTCACATCAAGTTTTACACATGTCTTTCCAGATCTTCCTGTTCCAGATTTTGCGAGGGCTGTCTTATTGTCACAAGAGGAAAGTTCTCCACAGGGACCTGAAGCCCCAGAACCTGCTCATCAACGAGAAAGGAGAACTCAAACTGGCTGATTTCGGTAAGAGGAACCAGAGCCGAGGCTGATATTTGCTTTAGGGCAGTCAGAAAAGAAAGGGCAAGAGTATTTTTATCCTGCGGAACAGTTTGATTATTCCCAGCTCTGCTTTTCACAGAGGTAATGTTCGTCTCTTGTCATTATAATCCTAATATCTATCTGTTTATGTCTATGGCAGGTCTGGCGAGGGCCAAGTCTGTGCCGACTAAAACCTACTCCAACGAGGTGGTGACTCTCTGGTACCGGCCTCCTGATGTTCTCCTGGGATCCTCTGAGTATTCAACACAGATCGACATGTGGTACGAGCCTTATTAATGCTTAGTAAAGGCATGGCATGTCCATTGATCACTGTGTTAATAAACAAAATAATAGTAATTTTGCTGTAGCCCTTGAAGTGTAAAGCTAAATGATATACCTGTAAACATTTCTGAAAGTCTTAGGAAAGAGATTGGAACTGGAAAGAGTGAATTTGATTGAGTCTTAATGCATAAAAAACTAAATACACACATCCTCTATGAAGTCAAAGAGATTACATAATTTCCTTTTATGGTACTTTGGCCCTGCTTTCCGACGTGTAAGGGGAGCGTGCTTTCTAGCATGTCTCATCCATTAAAATAATATAATAAAAGTGTGTGTGCAGGGGTGTTGGTTGTATATTCTATGAGATGGCAGCAGGTCGGCCCCTGTTCCCCGGCTCCACAGTAGAGGACGAGCTCCACCTCATCTTCAGGTTACTCGGTAAGCATCTCCTGCCAGGCTAAGATCACAGTACCAACCTAAAAAACTATATCAAAACACATGTCATTACCCGTTTACTAAACTGCCTCTGTGACTCCAGGTACACCCACAGAGGACAACTGGCCGGGAATCACCTCCATCGATGAGTTTAAATCCCACAGCTTCCCCAAATACAAACCACAGCCGCTGATCAACAACGCTCCCAGGTACTGCTGCCTGTTTGTGGGCATGCACCTGCATTAACATGTTTTTTTAATGGGCTCAGGAAATCATCATTTCATAGTCGGGCCATCCTCTCCCATTCGCCCCTACATCCTGTCAGACAGCTAACTGTTGCTCTTCCTTTTGTTTCTTCCAGGCTGGACAGCGAAGGCATCGAGCTGCTGCTGTCTTTTCTCAGAGTGAGTTCTTACATTTCATTTTCTAATCACATATACAGTAAAAGACTCCATAGCAGGAGCTAAAACCACACTAGTTGCTATCAATAAATCAAGTTGTCATAAAGCATGAAATCACTAATTGAAACCAAACTTAACATTAAAAAGCATTGCCATCAATCAGTCTGTTCTACATAAAGTGTAGGGGGGCGTGAGTTATGAACTATACTACAGCCAACCACCGGGGGGCAATAGAAATGTGTTGCTTAACATTCGGGGGTTTGTCATTGCCAATCCTTATATAAAGTCTATGTTTAGACTTGACCTAAAAGTGAACTTTCGGTCATGCAATACAAAAATGTGACAAAGGATAAATAATCACAAGAAAACAAATACTTTAAACAGTACAACTGATTAACATTATACTCCAAATAGCACTATCAGTGCATTTTTTGTGAACATACAGTGGGGCAAAAAAGTATTTATTCAGCCACCAATTGTGCAAGTTCTCCCACTTAAAAAGATGAGAGGCCTGTAATTTTCATCCTAGGTATACCTCAACTATGAGAGACAGAATGAGAAAAAAAAATCCAGAAAATCACATAATCACTGATTTTTAAAGAATTTATTTGCAAATTATGGTGGAAAATAAGTATTTGGTCAATAACAAAAGTTCATCTCAATACTTTGTTATATACCCTTTGTTGGCAATGACAGAGGTCGAACGTTTTCTGTAAGTCTTCACAAGGTTTTCACACACTGTTGCTGGTATTTTGGCCCATTCCTCCATGCAGATCTCCTCTAGAGCAGTGATGTTTTGGGGCTGTCGCTAGGCAACACAGACTTTCAACTCCCTCCAAAGATTTTCTATGGGGTTGAGATCTGGAGACTGGCTAGGCCACTCCAGGACCTTGAAATGCTTCTTACGAAGCCACTCCTTCGTTGCCCGGGTGGTGTGTTTGGGATCATTGTCATGCTGAAAGACCCAGCCACGTTTCATTTTCAATGCCCTTGCTGATGGAAGGAGGTTGTCACTCAAAATCTCACGATACATGGCCCCATTCATTCTTTCCTTTTACACGGATCAGTCGTCCTGGTCCCTTTGCAGAAAAACAGCCCCAAAGCATGATGTTTCCCCCCCCATGTTTCACAGTAGGTATGGTGTTCTTTGGATGCAACTCAGCATTCTTTCTCCTCCAAACACGTCTAGTTGAGTTTTTACCAAAAAGTTCTATTTTGGTTTCATCTAACCATATGACATTCTCCCAATCCTCTTCTGGATCATCTAAATCAGGGGTGCCCAACCTTTTTTGAACCGAGAGCTACTTTTAAAGTTGCCAGTCTGCTGAGATCTACCAGTCCAAATAGGGAGGCGTAACCATTACTACCAGGTAAATACACACTTCTACTTGTATAAAACTGACCTTTGTACGATGAATACTTCATAAAATACTGCAGATCCTTTATCTTACCTCTTTCTAATCTACACACATACAAGTATTTAACTGAAGTTACACAAACGTGTTGTTGATACAGAGTTGGAGTTTATTCACATGTCACTACAGTGAGTAATGTGTTCAAGAAACATTGAACAGTGCTGCCACATATGACACAGGAAAAAAAGAAAAGACTGAACCCTTTCTTTGCTATTATATACAAATAGTGTTGCTACAAAAGTATAAATGAGGCTTACTAATAAGACAACTCAGATCTGAAGCTACACAGGAATCTGCTGCCAAAGTGCAATAAAAAAAGACAAAATTAATAGAATCAAACCCTTTTTTTGTTGCATTTTAGTAGAGTATACAAATAAATGCCTTTAAAATAGGATGCAAGCAACACTAGTTTCTTAACCTGAATTGATAACAGACTATAATCAATTTAAACAGAACAGATCTGAATGTTTGCATTCTTATACCATTATGTACAATAATGAATAAGTTCAAACAAACTAAAACTTACAGCTGATTAATAACGGTATCTAACTTGAGTTTTTATTATATCAAAAACCTGTTGAAATTCTGTTATTTTGACTGTCACCCAAAAGCGCGTCGGCAGCCTCCAGGAAAGCTTCTTTCACAACTTCGCCGTCTTTGAAAGACTTCATGACACGATAAGATGCTATGGTAGCAGCCTTGCTCTTGTTGTTAGGCCTGGTGAAAATGGACTGCTGTCCTTTCAGGTCCCTCCCCTTTTGGGAGCGTAGGGCAGAATTAGGAGGGAATTCCGTCTCGTAGCGTTTGTGCACTGTTTTGAAATGCCGCTCCTAAATTACCCTTCTTCGATAAAGCCACGCTCGCATTGTAGATGAGACAGATGGACTTTGAATTGGAATAGATACAAAAATAATTATCCTCCCACTCGGAGTGAAAATTATATATTTTGGGCTTTTTTTGCTTCTGCCATAATTGCGGTCTTGTGTGTGTGCGGACTGTCACTCCTGTTGACACGGACAACGTCAGTGAAATACTGCCCAATGCCCACCAGTCACGCCCCGACACATGGGGTCTTGCCGGCCAATCACAAAGCTTTGATGCGTTCAAATGCATTATTCTGGCACAGGAAGATTATGTTACAGGACATTAACGATAAAACAGAATGTTGTTGTTCTATTTTTAGATACATCTCGCGATCGACTGGGAATCTCCCCGCGATCGACTGGTTGGGCACCCCTGATCTAAATGCTCTCTAGCAAACCTCAGACGGGCCTGGACATGTACTGGCTTAAGCAGGGGGACACGTCTGGCACTGCAGGATTTGAGTCCCTGGCGGCGTAGTGTGTTACTGATGGTAGCCTTTGTTACTTTGGTCCCAGCTCTCTGCAGGTCATTGACTAGGTCCCCCTGTGTGGTTTTGGGATTTTTGCTCACTGTTCTTGTGATCATTTTGACCCCACGGGGTGAGATCTTGCGTGGAGCCCCAGATCGAGGGAGATTATCAGTGGTCTTGTATGTCTTCCATTTTCTAATAATTGCTCCCACAGTTGATTTCCTCACACCAAGCTGCTTACCTATTGCAGATTCAGTCTTCCCAGCCTGGTGCAGGTCTACAATTTTGTTTCTGGTGTCCTTTGACAGCTCTTTGGTCTTGGCTATAGTGGAGTTTGGAGTGTGACTGTTTGAGGTTGTGGACAGGTGTCTTTTATACTGATAACGAGTTCAAACAGGTGCCATTAATACAGTTAACAAGTGGAGGACTGTTACAGAAAGAAGAAGTTACAGGTCTGTGAGAGCCAGAAATCTTGTTTGTTTGTAGGTGACCAAATACTTATTTTACCGAGGAATTTGTCTTTCCCCCCCATTCTGTCTCTCATAGTTGAAGTGTACCTAGGATGAAAATTACAGGCCTCTCTCATATTTTTAAGTGGGAGAACTTGCACAATTGGTGGCTGACTAAATACTTTTTTTCCCCACTGTACAGTGGGTCCCTGTTACTAAACTGTTTTAGTTCCTCTTTGTTTATCTGAGTGAATCATTATTTCTACACTCACAGAATTAGCTTGAATGAAAATGGGTGGTTTCTGTCTCCACAGTTTGAATCTAAGAAGAGGATTTCAGCTGAGGAGGCCATGAAACATTCCAACTTCCGGCAGCTCGGGATGAGAGTTCAAACACTGCCTGAGAGTGAGCAAACAGTCAATACCTCTGTCTGAGGCTATCTTCAATGTTTTCCTTTCCTGCTATTAACTGTTCTCCTCTTTGTTGTAGATGTATCAATATTCACTTTAAAAGAAATGGAGCTGCAGAGGGACCCTGGCAACAGGAGCTCCTCATACCCAGAGTCAGGTGGGTGGAGAAAACATTATCAAAGTTAAACCATAAGGAAAGAAAAAAAATCGTTTTACTAAATCTGATCATGTGGCAATCCTCAAAATACGGGTAAAATGAGACTGATAAAGGTTGATACAAGATGTTTTAATTGTCATAATCCGACAGCAATAATGAACTTGTTACATCTGTGGTGCCTCTTTAAACTGTCTGATGTCTGGCTACTTTTAGCATATTTAACGTAAAGCTAAGGCATTATGGGTATTGTAGTTTAATAGTTTTCCCTTTTTCTTTTAGGTAATAGCAAGATCAACAGGAGGCAGAGCATGCTCTTCTAATGTCAGATGAAGAGGATGTCAAACTTCATGATCCCTTGCCAACGACCTCACGCATGAGCCCACCTCCCCTCGGGTGACCCCTCCTCCCTCTTACCTGCACACACACACACACACACACACACAGAAATACACACACACACACACACAGAAATACACACACACACACACACACACACACACACACACACACACCCCTCAGAGCGAGTGACTCTGGGCTGTATCTGTTTGGAGACTGTGTTTATTTATTAGGAGGGAGTGAGGTGGAGTCTTTTGCTGCTAAACTACTACTGTCTGTATTTAACACACCGTATGTGTGTGTGTACATGATGTAAACTCGAGACGCCATGCACAGTTGAGCAGTCAGAAAGGTTACTTTTGTTCTCTTCTGACTAATATTCTCCGGCTTCGTTTGAGTTAAAATCCCACTGATGTTGACGCTGTGATCCAAGTTGTTGTTCCTGTTCAGTCTCTTCAGATATTTTTATTTATAAATATGTATATTGGACTTTTTTTTTTTCTTCGAGCTTCCGTGACTGAAATCTACAACATTTCAAGGTTTAAAAGACTTGGTGGGGGATAAAATGCATCTTCTGGATTATTTCTTGCCGTTTTCTCAAAAACATTTCAGTTGACTATTCTTTTGAAAGCTCCGCAGCCCCCTGGGTTTACACTGAGAGTCAAAAAGCAGACTGTGAGCGGATCGGAGTAACACTTTTAATCTGAGGGTTAAACAAGCACACACACAGACAAACTCGAAGAACAAGAAACCAACTTTTTTTGACCATTCTGGCTCAGCAACGGAAGCTAAACTAAGGAGTAGAGGTCAGTATCAGGTGGGAAGACAAGCCAAAAGGATGGATGCAAGAGGACGAATACTGGCACTGAAAAGGAAGCCATGTGATGTCCCACAGATGAAAAACCCTCACAGAACTGCCAACTTTAGTGCTTTTAAAAAAAATGCAAGCAACACTTTGTCCCTCGGCGTACATTTGTAGAACTCACTGCAGTAACTCTTTGTGTTTAACTTGGACTTCAGTGTGGTTATTTTTTTTTACTTCAGGGACTTGTGCCTTGACACGGCCGAGTTTACCCAACAGTATTAAGTTGTATTTTGTGTGTGTGAACTTTGACCTCTTCTTGTGAAACTACAGAGTCGTTGTGGCATGTTTTTTTCGCAGGGGTTTTGGGGTTTCGGTCTTCAAACTAAATGGTTGTTTTCCACTTGGCGTCGGACCATTGCTCTCTCCAGCATTTGTAGCCTACTAAAGAAAAAAAATATTTAAAGTTGAAATGTTTAGATTTAACTGAAAGCTGACAGTGAAGCAGGTTGAGAAGTCTCTCTATTCATTGTATTTTTCACTGAAGTGTCTGTTTGTACTCTGCATTCCTGGTTTTTATTTAATTGCAGGGAATATGTCTTATTCCTGCGGACTAATGAAGTTATTGTCACTTCATAGTCGTTTTTCAGGAGCTATTTGATACGTAAATTATTTGATATGTTGTGGTAATAGACTTATTTGCTTTCTTTTAAGAATAAGGTCTGAAGATAAAAGAGTTGGTACAACAAATATAAAGCTAGCAACGTTAGCCTGTTAGCTTAGTTTAGCACAAAGAATAAAACCAGGGATAGTCAATTATTATTATTTTTAAACAAACCAAGGTATTAGTGTAGTTTAAGAGGTTATGTCAGAATGTGTTACTTCAAGAAAAGTAAGCTCGTTCCACGTCTCTAAGTTTTTATGCTAAGCTAAACTAGCTTAGCTCGCCTCGGCTACATATTTATTGTTGCTACAGACATTAGTGTTTTTGTTTTTATATTTTCATATAATTTTCGCTAACAAAACAAACTAGTCTAATTCCTAAAAATGTCAAACTATTCCTCAGAATATGTGTGGTTGGCATCAAATCGCCTGCAGTAAATAACATCAGGAATGCATGAACAACACAGGTAAAACGTGAAAGTTAGAGGAGATTTAAGTTAGATTTGTGTTACTGTTGTATCTTGGGCTCAACATCAACATGAAAATTATGCATAGGCCTACTGTCGGTTGAGGAGTAAAGGATCTAATTAGGTAGAACCTTTATATATACAGTCTATGGGTAGAACATGCTAGAAAAGTGCTGGACGTATTAATACAATTGGTTTAACTTTGTTATTAACTGAGAGCATTAATGTGTTGGACGTTTACACAGTTTGCAGCTAAAAATGTAATAATCCTGTAAACATGCTATTTTTTTTTCATTTCAAGGCGGAAATTATGAGCTACTAATTTGATCAATTAAAACCAACACAACCGAACAATTGAAGATAGAAGATGCCATTTAAGTTTTGGATAACATATAATGTAGGCTAAGTTATTGTGTTAACAGGAAAAGTCTGACAATGTATTAAATTGACCCTTTGCCCCATGAATGGAGAAATCAGGTCACTTTTCTTCCCCTCATATTGCATTTCATGTAAAATGTATGTACTCTTTATTCATGCTTAATAAGTTATGACTTACACAACCATAACTAAGAAAAACTTCAGGATAAATTATGTTTAACTGCAAACTGTGTTTTTATTATCAGTTTATATGTGAACGACAGTGACATGCACGAAAGGAGATTTCTACAATGGATTAATATTTATCATTGTAAAACTGTAAACTTTTTTCAAATGTATGAATGACCTGAATTTATGTGAACATGTTTGAATGTGCACGTATGTGTGTGTGTGCTCGATGCATGGAATTCTACTTCTGTAATACTGAGCCACCGTGAAGTTTGTGTGTGTGACCCCTTTTTACTGGAACTATTTATTTCTCATAACCATCGAAAGTAAATTTAATCTGTTTCATAAACGGTCTGCAGTAGTTGTTATTTAAGTGGTGGAAGGTAAAGTATACAAGAAGGCATACAGTCTCTTTTCATTTTTATCTTTAATTATCATTCCAATACACATATTTTTACAACATTGGCCATCTGGACAAACACTGGCAAATCCCAGCAGAATGTGGTTTCCACAGCTAAACAAATGTCCAAGAAGCAAGATAACCCAGAATGTGTCAGCTGCAGGCTTTGGTCCTGGTATGTCTTACCATGTTCACTGTGAAGCATAGAACTGTCTGTACTACTGGTGAAAGTCATTGTGATGGAAACTTCTGTGCAGAAAGGATGGAAACTGGAGCAGCTTTAGTCGAACGCTGATATTTATTAAGAGTATAATACAGCCGGAGAGATTACAAAGTTTATCACACTTCCATGTGAGCCACGCAGAAACACAGATCTATACATGAGAAGAGGAGGGACCTATATTCCCGCCTTTCCCTTAATCATTACCAGACATCGGAACAAAGGCACCTTTTTATTGCAACTCATGTGCCCAAACCCCTCACCCATAGGAAGGCAGAGGACCTCTTGACCTCTGTCCTCCTCAAGTTACAAGCAGGATCACATGCGACTCAACAAAAGCACACGTTTATAAGACTGAGAACCTCTAAACACACAGATCGGATTAAAATATTCTCTGACAGTCATGAATGTCAGGGAACAAGTTGTGGTAGTAAAACAAATCCGACAGGCAAGTCTTTCGCTCAGGTCATGCTGAGATAGTCATTGTCATTTGTAAACTGACCCAATGTCTCCTGGGTTGGGTTTTTATGATATTATGTAGTCTGAAACCTGCATACATCAGTGCCAATAATAGTGTGTCGTTACTTAATTTAAAATGAAATGTTTTATGGAGAACCAGCAGCATACTGTAATGTAGCAGAAACATAGCACAACAAAAAATACCTTTCAGTTTCAGTCATTTGTTGGTTTCCCATTGACTGAACTGCATATATTTCAAATAATTCCAATTCCCTTTTATATCCCACTTTGATTAATTATTAAATTGGTAGATTTTCTTATAACAAAGCTGAAAAAGTACAGCTTTAATTCAGTATCAGATTATTTAGAAGATATTCATCAATTGGCAACTAAGCAGTGGAGGTGTGAAATATGGAAAATGTCTTTGAACCTATAAAGGACATTTAAAGGCAGAGGCACTTATTGTTGTATCACAGCCACTTTCAAATAATTTCTAAAGCAAATGTTTTGTTTGTAGAAAAAAAACGAACTTTTAGGTGATGATTTGTAATCATCCTAATACTACCAGGTTAGTTCTGTCATACTACCACCAGGTGGCTCTAAAGTCACACTCATTCATAGTGGCTTATTTGACTGTGCCAGCAAATACAAGCTTTCTCTCTAAGTGCAGTCGACTGAACTTCAAACTGTGATGTCATCGGTGCACCAGTTTCCTCCTGCCGCTGACCCGTGTCCACAGGCTGCGGGCCGTCTGAGCGATGGTCCCCCCTCGGGGAAGGCGGAGGCTCCGAAGCGGCTCCCTGATGCACGCCAGCACTCCTGGCTCGGAATCTTGCCCCAGGTACTCATGTGAAACGTAGTTTATCCTCCTAAGCTGTTTGCTGTAGTAGTTCCTCAAGTCACAGAGCTCTTCAGCTGCGGTGTCAGAGATGAAGGAGGCATGGGATGGAGAGCCGGGGACAGGTTTGGTGGCAGTGTCTCCAGCTGGGGATGGAGAATCTTCAGCTGCTGCTTTTTCGCGGGGTTTCCTCCTCACTCTCTGAGGGGTGGTGGATTTGCATTTGGAGGGTTTAACTGGAGTTTTCTGACCGTCACTGTTAGCGACAATGTTTATTTCAACCTCAATTTCATGTTGAGGCATGATGGACATGTCCTTTTCTTCCTCTCGCAGTTCATGTTTCCTGGACAGGTTGCTCTGTTCTTTAAATAGTTTCTGTTTGGGTGGGGTGGTACAGCTGTTGCCCACAACAATGGGGTCAAAGATCACATCCATCTCCTCGTTGGCTGATATGTCCTGTAAACAATATGGAACACTAAGGTCAGTGTACAACAGTGGCCAGTTCAGTCACCATAATATTCATTATTTAATGTCCTTTTAGAGTTATATTCAATTAATACAAGTATTGTACCATCAAACAAGAGGAATATATATCATGTAATTTAGCCCACCTCTCCATTTAGTCAGTGAAAATATAATATTATGTTAGACCCCCGTGCGATGAAATGTTAGACAGTTAGTGGATGCTACATTCCAGGTATGGGCATTAACACCGGAGATTATGGGTAATAGGCTTGGGCGACGTATAAGTTCTGCAACGGTCCGAGTAAGATATAGAATAGAAAATAAAAGAAAGCCTTTATTATTGCCTAGTGGGTCATAGGGCTTTCACACAATTCTAAATACTATTTGCAAATCAAAATAAGATATTATTTATATAAGATAGAAGACCTGCCCAATCACATTTTGGGGGTTGAGGTCCCAATAGTGTCCTTTTATCGCCCAAGCCTGCTGGTTAGTAACAGTGAGATGATACCATGCCAACAGAAGCAGTTAACAGAGTGAAGAATGATGGACTGTACTTTGTCAGCTTGTCTTCTGGACAGGGTGGGGGGGTTAAGGTAGGTCTGTCTTGACTTTCTTGGACACAGGGGCATCTCCAGCACTTTGAACTGATCTCTTTCCCTCTTTGGCTTGGCCCTTGCCACTCACAGCTTTTACCTGCAGGTCATTAACAACAGTCTTTACCTGAGATGATTAACATGGAGTGGACTGAGGAACACTAGAGGGGAGGACACTACAGTCTGAACACAAACAAACAGAAGCCTCCTTGTATCCCAGAGGCCCTTTTTGTACTCTTTCAGGTAATTTTGTATACATCTCCCTCTAAAATGCAGAACGGTCTGGAGGTTAAAATGGTATTCAACATAGGAAATCGCTCATATCTCCCCCAAGCTTTGAAGGCGTAATAAGCTGTTAGCAGTGGCAATGACATGGTGGTTAAATAGAAAAGCTCTAGTCTAGAGAGTCTCGGGAAACTACTATGCTTATTTCTTCAGGTTCATATTTGTATTATGCACCTCTACTGTGATGCGTTGTCTGTGATTCTCTAAACTTAAACATATACTGTGAATGACACCATTTAAAAAGGATGTAATGCTTATACATTTTTGTAACCTATTCTAAACAAAGAGAGACTTTTTTTTAAATACCACTTTGAGCTGATTTAAGAACATAAGGGCATAACTGTAGAAGTCTTACAAACTTACTTAATCTAAAGTGAAAGAAATGTGGAAAAGGTTCAGTATTATCTGGTTAAAAAATCTAAACAAACTACTTACAGCAGTTAAAACAATTGAACAGTATGATGCTCTACCATACTACACAGTGGGAAACCTGCTTTGTGATTGATCACTGCGGCAGCATTTACTCACGGCAGATCCACTCCCTGTCGTCCTCATGTTCATCTTGAGTGTGTGTGTTTCGACCTTCAGCAGAGGAGCTTTGCGACCCAACTTCAAGTAGAAGTAGGTGGTGTACGGAGTGAAGCTGAAATCCTCTCTGAAGTCCACAGACAGAATTACTTACTTGACTAAACGGTCTCAAAACATGTTCTCGTCAACATATTTATAGTATACTATTTTCTTTTCTTACCTGAGGTATCCCTGCAGCAACAGCCGCACGATCACAGCTTCAGCCTGCAGCCGAGGCAGAGTGGTGGTCTGGATCATCTTCCTGCGCTTGGCTGGTCCCTTCCCTATCCACGTCTCCACCACCTTCAGAGGAGTCTGCTTCTCATCCATTGACGTCGCTATTTCCACGATTTGCACCACCTGCTTGGCATGCTCGGTGATGTCCACTGTGGTGTAATCTACAGGGAACAAAGGTCAGATTATGACCAATTCAAAGAGAGAAGAGGGCTTTTTTTACATCTCGAAAGAACACATAAAACATGAAGACATTAGCACCTTTTGCATGGTGGCAAGTATCACACATCTGGTTGCATCCTTCATCGTCCCAAATCTCATCGAAATGAACGGCCATGAGAGAGCGCCGACACCTTCACACAGCAAACATGCATTCAAGTCATTGTGCGTAAGCTATCGATCACACTATAAAAAGTACTGTGTGTTTTGGCGCGCTACCTGTCGACATTCTGGCAGTAGTCGACCATCTGCAGGAGCTTCTTCTGACCAACGTTCTCCATCACCACCATGGTGCTGATCCTGAAGATGTCAGAGAAGCCAAAGTACACGATGCAGTCTGCTTGGCGGTCGTCCCGGCCTGGAGACACACAGATTGAAATGTTGAGATACAAAAATACCAGAGGAGAAGGAACAAGTACTCTCTCTGGATAGAATGGTGTGTACCTGCGCGTCCACTCTCTTGGTAGTAGTTCTCGATGGACTTGCTGATGGTGTGGTGGATGACAAACCGTACGTCAGGCTTGTCAATGCCCATGCCAAACGCCACTGTGGCCACCACCACCTAGAAAGGCCAAAGCAATCGCATAACAGGAGTGGAAAAATGTGAAAAGCGTCAACTCGAGGGAGAAATGTGCGTCGTTTCGCTTCCCAACATATCTGGGACCACAACATGTCCAAAGCAGCAAAAGTGGTTACTTGGGTCATGGAGGTTATTTCTCTTGTATCTCTTCGCTGGCCTGGGAGCGCCTTGGGATCCCCCAGTCAGAGCTGGTTGATGTCGCCAGGGAAAAGAAAGTTTGGGGCTCTCTGCTGGAACTGCTACCCCCGCGACCCGACCACGGATAAGCGGGAGAAGATGGATGGATGGATGGATATTTTCACTCTTACATACATACATTCTCCTTTTACATACATATATTTTATAATATGCATGTCTGAAGAGAATATATGTATGCAAGTGAAGAATGTATGTATGTGTAAAGACAATATATGTATGTGAGAGAAGAATGTATGTATGTGAGAGAGAAAGTATAGTGGAAACGGAAGGAGTATGGTTGAAACGGAAGGCAGGTCATTCTTGCGCTGTGATTGGCTCAGAAGGTCGAGCGGGGCGGGCTCATGTTCAGAACTTCTGATTTCAAATCAACATGATGGAGGGAGATGAATCGCGTAGATTGCAGCAAGCATTAGGGGTTTTAAGGAACATTTTGTCAACCCCTGAAACTGTCACATCCCTGGCCAGGTGTCCTTGCGGGTGCGTTCGCTTTACTTATCAGAGCGTGCCGTAAGGGCGGTTACTCTTTGGTTTATAAACTCCCGCCTGGGACGGACTGATGCATTAGATTATGTGCTATATGGAGGGGACTTTGACAGAGTATTTCTCACAAAGTACACAGTACAAGTACTTCAATGTATTGTTAGTAGCAGTCAAACTAGTACCGAGTCCAACAGTGTCAGTTTTATGAAGAACTTGTGGTAAAATATATTTGTAAAAAGAAAATGAAGAGCTACTGATTTGAAAAAACGGCTCTCTGTATAGTTTAAATCTCCTAACAATGTTGTCCATGTATTCTTCTCCCCTCGAGTCCAACAGTGTCAGTTTTATTAAGAACTTTCAGTAAAAAAATATTTGTAAAATATGAAGAGCAGCTGATTTGAAAAGACAAACGCGAGAGACGGCTGAGTGACCGCAGTGCAGAATCGCTGTATAGTTTAAATCTAACAATGTTGTCCATTTTAGACACATGCTTATTATATTTACAGCCTTAATAACATTCATTTTCTGGGCTCAATGTGTGTCTTGGCCGTTTTCGTTGTGATCGCTAAATTCACCTTGTTTCCCCTTGTTTATAATTATGTTCAACGTTCCAAGCAAACGAGTGCTTTTGTTTTGAAATCACTTCCGCGAGTATCGCCCCCCCCCCCCCCCCCCCCCTCGCTACAATGACTATTAGACCATTTAGTAAGGTAAAAAACAAAAACGCCTCGCAGACACTCTTCCGTTTACATGTTTAATAAAGAAAAACAAGTGGTCCGTAGATACACGGAGTCATCTAACCCTAACCCTCTCCCTCCATCATGTTGATTTGAATCAGAAGTTCTGAACATGAGCCCGCCCCGCTCGACCTTCTGAGCCAATCACAGCGCAAGAATGACCTGCCTTCCGTTTCAACCATACTCCTTCCGTTTCCACCATACTTTCTCTCACACATACATACATTCTTCTCTCACATACATATATTGTCTTCACACATACATACATTCTTCTCTTGCATACATATATTCTCTTCAGACATGCATATATTATAAAATATATGTATGTAAAAGGAGAATGTATGTATGTAAGAGTGAAAATATATGTATGTAAAAGGAGAATGTATGTATGTAAGAGTGAAAATATATGTATGTAAAAGGAGAATATATGTATGTAAAAGGAGAATGTATGTTCGTGAGAGGACCAGTATGAATTACGGCCTGTACGGCCCCTCATACTAAAATGTGGCTCACGTTCAGTGTAAACATGCATGCGCCAAGCAAATCATGGCTTGATTTAATTCAATAAAAAAAACACCCAACGAAAATAAATACAGGTAGGTGCGTCATACCTGGATTTTGTTGGCGGTCCATTTGCGGTGAATGCGGGATTTATCTGCGGGCTCCATGTGAGAATGGTAGGGAAAGGCTACGATGTCGCTCTTCTGGAGTTCAGACGACACCGACTCTGCATCCTTCTGAGAGAACACGTACACGATTCCTGTGGAGCACCAATACATTTTTTTTTTAAAAGCCTTATTGCTGTGTATGTGAATAAATATACATCTTAATCCCTCTGTAGAACATATAAGCCTCAATGTGATGCATTAGATACGTTTTAACGAGTCTTAATAGGCAGCAGTACCTGACTGATCCTTGTATTTGCTCTTGATCAGAGCAGCGATGTCACTTATTGATGCCTCATGGTTAGAATCTTTAATACGGACCTGAGGAACGAGCAAACTGTAAGTGTCACTGCAGCATTTTCAATGTTTTTAAAGGGTCTGATAGTTGTGTTAAGAGCTGCCATGGTTCCCACCTCGTAGTAGAGATTGGTCCGGTTGAAGGATGCGGTCAGTGTGATGGTCTTTGGCACACACAGGATCTTCTCACAGTCCTTGAGGACGCTGCTGGTCGCTGTGGCTGTGAGTCCGAGTAGTGGCACTTTGGGGAACTGTCTCTTTAAGATGCCCAGCAGTTTATAATCTGCACAGACAAACACAACATAATAATAAATACATATTGTAGAAGTTGAGAAACAAACTTTGTGTCATTCAGCCTTTGAATGATTATATCCCCTCCTCCTCTCACCTGTTCTGAAGTCGTGTCCCCATTGGCTGCAGCAGTGCACCTCGTCCACAGCGATACGACTCAGCAGGTTTGCGTTGTAGGCTTTCTCCAATCGAGACATGAGCAGCTTGCTCTTGGCAATCTTCTCTGGAGTCACGTACAGCAGCTTGAAAGGGGCCTTCGGATCCGTCATTCCAGCCATGACGCTCTTGGCGTGCTCCTAAAAAATTATACATTTTGCTTTTTCATTTTTTTCAGATTGTGAGTTATAGATTTTACTCCGCCAAAAAACATTGTCCTTCGAAATGCCCTCTAATACTAATAATAAAAGCATTGGCCTCCAACAGGGGGTCCTCAATGTCATTTTTTAAACTGTTTTTTCTATGGAAATCCTTTTTCAGCTTTCAGGAAGATTAGTTAAGGAAGAGATCAACAGACTGAAGTGTGAGGTCAAATACAACCATCTGTTACCTTGCTACTGGACGCATTTAGCATGACTGCTGCCACATCGATGGACTTCAGGTACATGATCTGGTCCTCCATTAGGGACAGCAGGGGGGTGACAACCAGTGTAAAACCTGACACAAACATACATGTGATAGGAAACTAATTTCAGAGTCAATAAGCAACATAATGATCTCATATGTGTATCTCATGTGTGTGTCTCTGTACCGTTGGAGCTGACTGCTGGCAGCTGGTAGCAGAGGCTCTTCCCTCTCCCTGTGGGCATCACCAGGAACAGATCTTTGCCCGACAGAGTGAGGTTCATGGCCCTCAGCTGCAGTGGTCTGAACGTGGAGAGATGGAACGTGTCCTTCAGGTGCTGCTCCAAATTTTCAGACCATGGAAAATCTACCAAACATTAAAAGGTCACCTATTATGCAAAATCCACCTTTTCATGTCTTGTATACATCAACATGTGTCCCCTCTGCGTAAAGAGATTCTGAAAGTGTCAGGAAAAAAGATTCGCTCACTTTTTGTCCTGATCCATTTATATAAAAACCTGTCTGAAAATGAGGCCACTTTATGATGTCATAACGATGTTTTGGCTTGTGTAACCATTAGCCAATCACCAACCAAGGTAATCAGCTCTTTTGAAACAGGGCTGAAACAGAGGGGATTATGGGATGCTACAATGGGTGATCTGTTTGGTGTTTCAGCCAAACACTTTTTTTTTTTGTATACATCTGAGACCTATAATATATTGATGAAAAACAGTATAATAGGGGAAAAGAGAAAGCTGCCTTATGGAATCTGAATTGTATAGCCATGTGTGTAGAGTACCTGTGCCGTCATATAGCAGCATCTCCTGCTTGCTGATAACAGGAGTGGCTCCAGATGACTTTGAGGAAGACGATGATGGCTGTGCGGTATCACAGGCCTCCTCCAGCTCCTGCAGCAGGGCATTTTTCCGTTCATTCAGCTCAGCTTGCTTCTCCTGGAGATCGGAGATCTGCAGCTCCACCAACTCCAGCTCTGACTCCACAGAGTCCAGCTCCTGCTGCACGTCTAAAAAGGTACAAAAACACCAGGAAAACAGCTGATGAGTTGCGTTAGAGCCAGTATTTCGTTTTTATAAGAAATGCCACTTTCATTGCACAACATCATCCCACCATCGGAGGCCAAGCAACTCATCAACTGTAAGTAACACAAATATAAAGGAAAGAAAACGAGTTACAAATGTCTATTTAAGGCTTGATAGAAATAAGGAAGGAAGCCACGACAAGTTGTAAGTATGAATGGAAACAAGATAGTTGCAAAAGATGCAAATGCGGTCTATTTACTGTGGCTATTTTTCTGAAACAGGATCAAAACGTACGGAGATTGTTTATGTTTTAAAACAACATATAGGTGTGGATGCCTCAGTAGTGTTATCCTGATGATGTGAAGAGGGAGGTGTCTGTCAGGTCTCACACATGAACAGGTACCAGTCCTCTGAGGATCACACCTCCACAGCTAATGATCTCATTTCAATCTCTCTGTCCCTCCCCCAGCATCCCTTCAGAGGCAGGGTGTTGTCTTTCAGCGGGCCCCGTGAAACCACGACATCTCATGCAAAAACAACTGCACGATTAACAAAGGAACCGTGTGCGGGTTTACATCTTAGCACTTTTTAGTCTGAGGTTCGGCAAATGTGCATGCATATAAAACGGATGCAAAAAAGTTGCATAAAACCTCCATTGTCTGTTTCTGACCTACCATTAGTTCCTCCACCACAATCCATATTTGGCAGACTGATATTGCTCAGGAAGGAGCCAATCAGACTGTCAGAGATGTTGAAAGGATTCCCTGTAAGACATAGACACATTCAACAAAAACATCAGTTTTCAAATTCACTTTGTATTAATGTTTCTGAATGAGCCATACTCTCTCTGGGTACTACTAACCATTTAGCAATTTTCTGATGGCACCTTGACTCTCGTTGAAGGATCATGTGAATGAATATCCCACTACTAATGGAAGTTAGATATAATATTGGTCAGATTTTAAAAAGCTATTATGGCCGTCATCAAGTGAAACATTGACATGCTATGTATTTACCACTGCCAGTTCACATATGAAGGCAGTTTAACCTGAACAAAAATAACCAAAGTTACATCTACTTACTCAATATTTACGTTAGCTAGTTAGTTAAAATGCATCTGGTTCATCCAACTTAGCTGTTTAATGGTAATGTTACCCTCACAGCGACATTAGAGCATCCTGTTTAACCGACTTCAACTCTCCTGCACCTGCCAGCTTCTCCAGATAACAGCTTTGCTACTTTCAACGTTTCACCTCTGTTATGTAGGCAACATTAGCTAATTTCATACGTCTGGGATAAGCAATTTAAAAAGCAAAAAGTACGTATGACTAACCATTCAGCAACTTCCATTCATGGGTGTATAAGAGCCTTCTTGTTGGTGAATCCACTTCACGGTTGCTATAGCAGACCGCCTTTAGAAAGTCTTCTTCTTCTCTCGATTTAATGGCAGATCGCACACACCTTAAAGTGCATACCGCCACCTAGTGTACAAGAGTGTGCATCATCATGTAATTTTCTTCATGGATGTGTAGAATCTACAGATCAATAATATAACCTCTTTTAGATTATCCTTACTTAAAGGTGGGGTATGTCATTTGGGAGAAACCAGTTCGAGTGCGCTAGAATTTGAAAATACACAGCCGGAAAAAATCTGCCACTTCCCTCCTCCAACACACACGAACGCGCACATGACCGATGACCACGAGATACATTCGTGCACAGATGCACAGATGACAGTTTTTTTAATGGATTTTGTGTCAAAGCACTTAAGATATTCATTGCTATCGGGATTTTAAGAGCATTCCATGGATGGAATATAACAAAGTGTATCTCGAGCCGGTTTCTCAAACTTACCTACCCCACCTTTAAGCTGAAATATGAAACTGTATTTTTTTAAATTATTATATGTGTTTTTTGTATTACTTTATGTCCACCCCACATGTTTTTGTATACAAAATATATGATGTTCATATATGTTCTTGAATAAAATAAAATATAATGATTAAAACAATTATTCTTACCATCCCTTTCATTAAAAACAGTAAACAGTGCCTTCCTGGTATATCTTATGCTTTCTTCTTCTGTAACCACTATCCTTGTCGGGTTCAACTACTTAATCAATTAGCTTTTCAATTTCTGTGTCATACATGGTGCAACTTTATACATTTGTTCACATTTTCTTTAACTCGACAGTTCCCACACTTTCCCCTTTGACTTTCCCACAGAAGGAACATAGTGCCATTTAATTATTCTCAAATCTAATCAACGTCCTTCTTTCTGTTCCATTCTTGACCCTTTATATAACTGCCTTTTGTAATTTCACTCTATGCTTCCTAAGATGAATATTGAGTCAGAGTTCTCTTTATAAACCCATGGCATAAGCATATGTATTGAGATAAGCAGATCCATTCAAACCTTTGTTGCTCCCATTCATTTCTATCCATCCAGCTCAAGCCCAAACCCCAAGCCTGAGTGTGCTGCGTTCAAGACCCACGTTCAGTAAAAAATGACATTACCTTTCGAGAGTTTAGATATTTCTTCTTTTTTGTTAGTATCTATTAATATGCAACCCAATATGTGTGTTTTACTAGAATATTAGAGTTATCATATATGCACACACTATTGCAAATCATGATATAGAGTAGATAGATATAGTTGCAAAGTGGTTGTTTGAGTGTTTTTCATATTCCTTTCAGCGATATCATGAGTGTTACATGCAGTAGGTGGTCAGGTCCATAAACTGTATTAAATAGTTCATTCACACTGTAGCAAACACTAATCGTAGGGCTACTTTTACTTTCAGTGGCTTCGCACACTATGCAACAATATGAACAGCGAGTGTCGTTGAATGCGACACGGCGCTCTTCCGGAAGATGACATCGCGAGAGGGTGTGTTTCCGGAAGACGTGGCTGTTGCTGCAGTGGCAGCTGTCATCTAAATTGTTCTCAGAAGAGTACTTGAATGTTACTTTAAATATTATCTATTTATAGTGTATATTAACCTGTTTATTCACCGTCAAGATGATTTCGCTAACGGACTCCCAGAGTAAGACTTTTTGATATTTGAGCATCTATGAATTTAAGCTGCAGCTGAGCTGTGAGTTAACTAGCAATTAGCATTCAGTGAAAGGAAAGTAAGCTTACACTTTGCCCATGGCATTCCATTACCCATGGCCCAAAAAGCTAAATGCTAACTCCTACTACTATAACAAGCTGTTGATTAAAAGTAGCACACGTTCATATTGTATTTCCGTATCTCTAAGTTTGACTAGCTTGAAAGGAAAGTGAACAATGGAGGTCCAGCTCCAGTGAAATGACCAGAGGTGGAGGAAGTACTCAGATCTTTTACTTAAGTAAAAGTAGAAGTACCAGAGTTTAGTAATACTCTGTTACAAGTTAAAGTCCTGCAATCAAAATGTTACTCAAGCAAAAGTACAAATGTACCAAAAGTAAAATGACCCATTTCGCAGATTGGCCCATTTCAGAATAATATATATGATATGTTTGATCATAATGATTGATGCAGCTAGCTTGAATGACTTTGTATTCTGCAGGTTAGCTTGTGAATTTACTCCAGGTGTAACTAAAGTCTGATTTAAGTGTTGAATATAATTCAAAACAACAATACAAATCTGCAAGTTAGCTAAAGGTAAACAGTCCATTACATGCAGATGGCCATGGTGTCAAATAATGGTCATATTTCAGCTTCATATTCCAAATCTATGCTTATGTAACAATATCTGACAGCAGAGTGTAACCTTCCTGTTGTGTGTATTTGTGTTGCAGAGATTGGAATGGGATTAACAGGCTTCGGCGTTTTTTTCCTCTTCTTCGGGATGATCCTGTTTTTTGACAAAGCACTCCTGGCTATTGGAAACGTGAGTGTATTCATCTCATTGGACTGATATCACATGTTCTAGAAACAGGTTTCACCTCATTTCTTTTGCATTAAATCCACCAGCTGAGCCCTCAAACTGACACGTTCGTTACGTTTTGCTGCACTGATCAAATGAAGTTTCCTCTCCTCCAGCTTTGCCGGTCTCACTTTTCAAAAAGAACGGTCAAATTTGAAACGGCAAATATCCTAATTCTAAGCTCCAAAATAACTGAATCATACATTCCTATAATGCATCCCTTAGCATATCTTTCTTAGATCCTCGATTCCATCCTAGACCAAGATGTCCTCCACACCACACACTTGTAATGCAGACTCTCTGTGTAGTCAAAAGTCTCCAAGGCACAGCTGTAAGGACCAATAAGAGACCACTCTCTTCCCCCTTGTTCTCCGTAGATCCTGTTTGTCGCTGGACTTTCCTTTGTCATCGGGCTGGAGAGGACCTTCCGTTTCTTCTTCCAGAAACATAAAATGAAGGCCACCAGCTTCTTCCTGGGTGGTGTGCTGGTGGTTCTGATCGGCTGGCCCATCATCGGAGTGGTGCTGGAGATCTACGGCTTTTTCCTCTTGTTTAGGTAGGAGGGAACAAAGAGGGAACAAAGAGGGAACAAAGGGGGAACAAGCTGAGAACAGGAACAGCACACTGACAATACTAGCATGCTTTAAGACTTGTTTGACGTGTACCTCCTTTCATTAACTATCAACAGTATAAACACATACTACACAGGCATTTTAATGTTAAAATCAAATCATTTATATTCCTGCTTGTATGGATGTTGTTAATTTAATTGTGTTGCATTTCTGTTTCATGCAGTTATCTTTATTAGGATGCGTACTAACTTCTCTTTCTTTGCTTTTATCTCTTCCCCTCATTGGTTCTCTCTCTTTAACTCTCCTCACATCCAGGGGTTTCTTCCCAGTTATAGTGGGCTTCATCAGAAGAATACCAGTCCTCGGCTCCATCCTGAACCTTCCCTTCATCAGCGCAGTACGTATCACCCGGCACTGCTGCCCCCCTGCAGCTCTGCCCTGTTTACACGTAGCATGGCTTTTCCTGTTTATTATTTCCCCTGTTCAAACAATGCGTCTTCTAAAGAATAAAAAAAATGCCCCCCCGATCCAATGATATCTTAGCTCCTACAGCTGGTTTAATGAAAAGGTACTGTGAGTTGGTCTGGATTGGTTATCCACTTGAAGGAGGACTTAAAATCGGAGGAAACGTTTCCGGAATGTCTATTTCTGAATTGCTATTTCTGATAAGGGGTGTTTTGTAAATGCTGTGATGTCAGGGTTGTCATGGCATTAACTCTAGAGGTTCAAATGCATGAGGTCCGCAACGACTGCCACTTTTAACTCTAAAACTCCCAGGTTTAGCCTGCTTGTGGCTGATGGATATTCTGCGACTGTGCTATTGTGTGGGAATATTTGTTTTGAGGTGTCTCTGTCTGTGTGTTTTTATTAAAGCCTTCGTAAGGCTCTGAGGACAATCAGCAGCTGTGGTCAGTCACTGCCGATATTTCCCTTGCATGCTTACATTTTATTAACATTTGACTATATTCATTCAAAACGTGATAGAAGGGAAAGCTTTTGCTCTTGCTTAGGGAGCTGATAGTCATTGTTTAACAATATTTTAAAATCATATTTGGCTCTAAAGGCACACATGATAGGTAAAACAAGTTTCACTGAAGTCCAAGTTGTCCCCTTTAATGATACATTCATTACATTTCCAGTGGAAGCAAATGTTGTCCAGCAAAATAGGTTGTGTTGGAAGGTTGATTGCATAGTGACTGTTAACAGGTCCAGTTGTTGATCTACTATAGCTGGCAAAAGGGTTGTAACAGTACACCGTGATATTAAAATTGACAGTCATACGGGTCAATCTGTGTGAATAATCCCAATTGGTAATAACAATAGAACCAAAAATGGCAGGGATGTATTGTTTGTCCTGTTTACCTGTTGTGTGTCCCTTTAGTCCTGCATGCCTTCCATTATAAAATGCTAAATGATAAGGATAGTGGTGTCTCACTAACATTTTGTATTTCTTTGAGCGCTCACAGGTCTCTGTGCCAAATCATGTTTGTTTTTTTTAAACTAGAGAAACTGAAAAGCAACAAGATGATGCTTACGACTATTTCTCTCTTTCCTTTCAGTATGTGGACAAGGCGGGAGAAAGCAACACCATGGTATAACAGAGACTCTTTGTACCCAGAGAAGGCTATTTGAGAACAGTAGGTTTTATAAAGCATCACAATCTCCCCCCCCCCCCCCCCCCGCCGCCGCAGCAGCCAAAGACTTTCTGTCTGCAATTTCCCTTGTCAGTGCTACCAATCAAAGGTTCATCAGAGCGTCGCATCACCAGTCTGTTACTAAAGGGTGGAGTTACTAAGGTCACTACAATAAATATTCCAAAAGCTATCGATCCTTTCACTGTTGAGTGCATCTGGCACGAAGATGGAAGACTCCTTCAAAGCACCATCGACTCTGTCTACATGACTCTCTTACACTGTGGAAAAAAACTGTCAAGCATACTGATGTTCCACAAGGACGAGAATTGGACATGCAGCTCGCCATGTTGCAACATTTCTGTGCCTGTGCTTTGAATTATTTGGACAAAAGTCCTGCTTCTTGCAGATTTTCTGTCTATTTTTTCTTTTCGCAGCTGTTTAAATACCAAGTGTGGCTTTTGTTATATTTTCCTTTTGTTACATGTCATTTCTGATTACAGTTGGCTCATGAGTACTTCAGCATAAATGATTTTTCATCTAATGATCAGTGCTTTACTTAATCTCTAGTGAGGTGCTTTGGCATCATACTAGAATATTTTAGAATCGTATTATTAAAGTCTGGTCTCAACAGAAAGAGGCAACACCCAATTTGAGATGACACATGGAAGGTGAATTTCATCCAGTTGGTGCTAGAAGCTTTGTGATGTAGTGAATACTCATGAGGCTAGCTAGCAAACTACTGTAGCTGTTTAGCTAACGGCTAACCCAATAGCTAGCCAGGTACATTCTGTCACAAAAGCTATCTTAGCTAGCCGCTTTGCTAACTGTCAGTAGCAAGCAAGGTTGCTTAGTCATTAACAGGATAATACTCAGAGTTCAGTTTATTTAAGAATCATGTTTTATTTAAGAAACATTTTTGTACCAACCTCTCCTGTCTCATTACTGCACACCATTGATGTTTAAAGAGTAGTTTTCATCCCAGAAGAGCAGGGTTGTATGAAAGTCAAATTCTGTCAAACTTTATCTTTTTAAAATGTTTGCAGACTAAATGTTTCAGGTCAATTTCAACTTGGGTCTTGGTAAAACCAAAACCAAATGTATCCCATAATGGATTATCACTTAAAAACTGGTATGATCCTGGTAGATCTCTTTAAGAATTCACACATTAAACTCATCACTGAATGTATATAATCAAACTCTTTTACAACCTGGGAACACCCACTCTGAGGCACCTTTACGTGCTTGTGAACCTACAGACCTTTTATATCTAAATGTTATCAGGTCTTAGAGAACCCCTTTGGGGGTAGAGTCCTAGCTATCCACATTCATTTGCTTCTTTTGTTTTTAAAAACAAATTCTTCAGTATTGCAGACATCAGCCACCACAACCCAGGAGCTGAATACATGGACTATTTAACTGGGTTTTTCTGTTGGGAGCATTCAAATTGAAGTTAGTGAAATGACGATGTATGTATGGCACTTTTGTTGTAAATATACTATGGAAGTAAGCTTTCTATCTGCCATCAATCTGGTTTCTGGTTGTTTATTCCTGTCTGTTTAGTGACTATATCTACACACTATGAATCAGGTTTTTCAACATTCACATACCCACATGTATTTTTTGCATATTTCAAACAATATATTTCTCCCATGTAAGCTGCTCTGCAATGGCTCCCTGGAAAATGCAGAATATAATTGAAACTCAACTAAAAAAAGCTCTCAATGGTCAGACACCATCTTATTTAAAAAGAGCTCATAGTACCCTATTCCCCCACCACAACGACACTCTTCCAGAAAACAGGTTTCTTTGTCACCCTCTCTACACTTAGTAGTAGGCTTAAGACCATTCCCATTAACAAAGCTTATAACTAGGGCTGGCTCAGGCCTCCTCCTCTCCCTCTCTATCTGCATCCATTCATCTCCATCTGCATGCAAACACATCCCAAAAATGCATGTTACCAACTCGACATCGGGGCATCGTCCCTGGAGTTTTTCTGTCTCCTGCAGGTTTCCATGTTTACTGATTGCACCTGGATCATGAAATGTTGATGCGCGTGTTGCCGCGGTCATGCTTGGCGCTTACGTTATTAATATTTGTGACACCTAAAAGATGTTTGACATCCTCTTAGATCGATCTTTTCATGTTCACATTAAAAAAAATTATAAACTATATTTTGGTAGCTCTCTTTAAAACCCTTTTTATAGCGTTAATTTGTTTAACTGAATCTGGATTATAGCCTACATAATCTGCAAATATTTTACACCAATTCAACAATAACAATCAAAAATCAGTTTCAAACATGGAGATAAAGAAACCTAGTTACCCACCTCGGTATTTAAATGTCTTCAAAGGAATCTAATCAGCAATATAGCCAACATGTTAAGTGCATTTTTCTCTGGGGGAGCAGCGGTAGGGGGATTTGGACTCAATACCTCAGTGTTTCTAATAACATATAACCCTCTTTCTTCTCAGTACCATGGGGCTTCCCTGGAACGTAATCGTATATTGTTGACCGTTTGACATCATTGACAGGAACATTCACTTCCCTGTTTCGCTCACAGCCTCGGATAATTGCATTGGTAATGGTAAGTGTGGCCTTTTGATTCATAAATCCAACGCTCTCCTCTTTGTGCTCCAGTGAGTAAGGTGCAAACATATCAATACAAACACAGAGGGGGGACATATTAGTGATTACTCATTGTTATATTGACTGTGCCTTCATCACCCAGGACTAATTCACATTTGTCAATAACAGCATGCAGCTCCAACGTGTGTAATTTTGACACGGGGGAGATGACGTGTTTCTGGCAGGTGTTTTAATGCAGAGGTATTTACAAGGCTCTCAATGGAAGGAGCTGAATCGATGGATGGCTGCATTCATTCACTCTCCTCACCGCCCCCGTTTCAACAAATTGGCCTGACCTATGGCTGCAGGCATCGTGAAGGAGCGTGGAGCAGGGAGGGTATAAATACTGGGAGAGGGGTCCCAGCCAGCAAGTATCCTGAACCTTTGACTGCCTCCTCCTCTCTGCTGGACACAAGGCTGCAAACACCTCTGATACCATGAAGGCAAGTACAATGCATGAAAGGCTTTGTTTTAATTTGGTGGTAAAATGATGTGCAATGGAGTGTACTCCTAGATTGCATTACGGAATTCGAAAACTTTAATTGATTTATTAATACTGGCAATACTGAGAAGCCCATGAAATTCCGGGATTTTAAGGATCATTCGACAGCTGGGAAGTCTTTTTTAACAATAGTATCTGAGAGATTTTGCTTGGTTACAAATTATGAATTAACACCATTTTCTTTATTTTCCACAGGGTTTGAGGACCATCACTTTGACATATGTTGGCCTGCTCACCCTTATACTGCTGGCGTCGTTTATCTCACAGTCGTGGGGCGCACCAAAGGTAAACCTCATCATATGCATACAACTTTTGACAGTAAGGATTTCACTCAATGGTAAAATGCAACTAAAATAGTGTTATCTAACAGAAGGGTTGGGGTTATACACAGGCTTGGGGAGTAACTGATTACATGAAAAATGGTAATCCTTAATGGATTACAGTTACCCCAACTTCTCGCCACAACAATTATAGGTAGACGTACTGAATTAATGTTCTTTATAGTTTATATTTAGGCTACGTGTTAAATACATTTTCTTTTTTAATGCAGTAGGTAGACACCTAATTTACTAAACAAAAATACAGTTTGCTTTTAATTAATGTATAAAGCTTAAACACCATTTGTAAACTATTACTGTTACTACATTTAGATTTAGCTTTTTTGAAGTTACATTGTTCCAATCACTTAAGTAAAAAACATGTCATTGTTATTTTCTTTCCCTCTTGCTTTTATTTGCATTGCATTTGATATTGAGGTTATCCAAAAGTAACGGAAAGTAATCAGGATACATTACTTTTCTATTTTGATACTCCGATTAGGTTACTGATTCCATTTTTAAAGTAACCCTCCGAAACCCTGGGTATAAACAGAAGCATCAAATGAATTCAGCTTTAAGATGTGTTTCTTCATTAAAGGGCTCTTTCCAACGGAGAAACTGGACCCCGCAGGCTATGCTGTACCTTAAGGGCACTCGTATGTATTCACCTACTGATCCTCTGTCCGTATGGAGACCCAAAGTGTTCAATGTTAGAAAATAAATACGAGAATGTAATTCAACTAACCAATCAAGGAATTATATTTTGAAAGGATTTTTGTTTAATTCTGTTTTATTTAATAATTGCCAGTATTTCTATGTATCCATTAAACATGAAAAACAAGGCAGTCAGTCTATTTGACTTTGTGATGAAATAAAAAGAGCGATCATTGTGAAAAAACAATTCCATTTAATCAGTTATACTGCAAAACATGTATATTTATTCATCTTCTGAATCTTGTGTATCTTGTGTATTTATTTGACAATTGTCTTGCTCTAGCTTTAGATAAGTTGCGTACCTGTTTCTACGTTACATTCCCGAGCGTTGGATACCTTTTAATCTATTTTTGTATTACCAGAGGGACGAAGATTCATCTCAGAGGATCGTAAAGAAGGAGATGTCTATGACACATTACACTTAGGTAGGACGAATGTTTTTAAGCAAAATTGTAGATTTTATTAGAACATGCTTTTCCTTTATTTTATGGGAAATATAAGAAAGTTTCCCCAAGAGAAAATGGTCTTAAAAGTGGAATCCCCCTTTGGCCCATTAAGCAGGTAGATAATCTTTGTTTGGTGTTTTTTCTCCCCATCAGAGACCCGCAGTCAGAACACAGAGAATCTGAGCGTGGACCAGGCCGCCACCGTCCTGCTCAACTTCCTGCAGCAGACCAGAGAGGGAGGTGAGAGCTAAATCTGTTCATCCAACACACAGCAGCTGGATCAATTTCTGCAGGTCGCACATGAAGGGAATAAGGTTTGGTTACAGAAGAGGAAGAATGAATAAATAAAGTCAATAAATGTAAATATTGATCTAGCCATTAGCCCGTTATGATTAAAACTCTATATCCTACTTATATAACTTGAAGCTTTAGTTAGTTAGTAGTGCATATCATTTTTTCTTTTTGCGAGAAAAAGGCAACATTGATTCTGATCTTCTTAAATTACCAGTTGAAAAAGCTTTTAGATACCGTTTTTAACAGGTTACACTCACACATGCATCCATTTCAAGGATCTTCCAAAACTCTCACACATGCATCCATTTCAAGGATCTTCCAAAACTTTCAAGGGTTTTATTGGTTAAATTCAAGAAAACTGGGTTAAAGATACAATGAACAGCATGATTGTCTAAATGAAGTCGACAAGGACTTTGAAAGGTTTTAGATTAAAGATTTTATATTCTTGCTCTGTCTAATACACAAAAAACATATATATTGTTATTCCACAATTTAATGTTAATTTTCTCTTTTTATCCTCCAGCTAAGGAGAATCCAAATGAGGTGTATTTCCAGGAGCTGCCGGTGTGGAAGAGAGAATACTTTTGATCGTCTTTCATACATTTAATTTCTTCAGTCCTGTGTAAAATTCCAGTTGTTTTGTATCTATAAATTATCTGACAATGTTTGAAATGTGATGTTTTAATAAAAGGAGTTTGAATCCATAGCACTATTGGTCTGATATTGTCAAAGTGTTTTAAACTTCCAAGATAGAATATTCAAGGTATGTTTCAAAACCATTATGACACCCAAAATGTCCTAAAGGTCATACAAATACAGTATTTATGATGACATATCAAGTTTACAGATAAATCAAGGTTTGATGATATTGTAAATGAAGGATGTTACCAAAGAGAGAGTTGCTATTTTTTAAGCATCTAATCTTTTAAGCGTAATTTTGCAGGTCAAACTTCATTCTAAAAACACAATTGTTGTGCAACGTCTCGGAAAACAATAGGTGAACATAATGCTAAGAAAGTAGAAAAAACAAACGTTACATTTATAAATAGCTTGGCTATACAGATACAATAAATGTTATGGTAATACAGTATATGAACCCAGCAGATCTAATCAGCCAACTTCACTGCTGGACTTTGTTGATTAACCAGCATCTCAGCAATGTAGCATACATACTCAAATATTACTTTTTCACTTATATTTGGCTAAAAGATTACTAGAAAATCAACACAGCCACTCAGGGTTGTAACTTGTAAAATGTATTTATTTGTTATATTCATTTCCAGATCAATGGTAGACAACATTTAGTTGTTTCTTTGTAACTCGACTGAGATAAAACAAGTACATTGAAAACACTTATGGGCCAAGACCGTAGCCTTGGGGAACACCACAATTAAACTCAGCTTCAAAACAGTAGTCTAGGTTATGTGATGGATCTGATCAGGTCTAGTTGTTCCAATACAGCAATATTGCAAGCATCCAATGTCACAACACTTTCAGGCCTTTCAATATTTTGTCCCTAATCTACATTTTCCGCTTTTATTATTTTTACAACTGTCAGAAACAATGGGTGACTTACTGTAAACCTGTTTATAATCTTCAGCTTCTAATAGTCAATCTCAGTTTCTTGACTCTCCAGGTTGCTTTTACTTGCCCTCCTGCACGTCCCCCAGCACAAAGGGAGCCTTGATGTTCAGTCGATCCCTCTCGGCCTCTTCATCTTCATCATAGGGCTCATAATCATCGTCATCATCATCGTCGTCATCCTCCACATCGCTGTGGTGGGGGGTGGAGTGGACGGAGGCAGAGGGAGAGGCGGGTACCGAGTAGGGCCGAGGGTAACGGAAACCTTCTGTCTGTGGACACAAAGGTATAACTTCACATTACTCTGCTACCGTAATATTGTCTGTCTTCCAATTTAATATCCATTTGTATCTAAAACAGCTGACAGAGACTTTGAACTTTAATACTTCAAGCAAGATCATCCATTACAGTCAGTTGCATCGTAGATTGTAGTGAACATTCACTTCAAAAAAGGTAAAAAGCTGCAATGTGTTTTGAGAGTAAATTTCATTTTCATTAATCCTGCTATTCCTTTCTTTCTTCCTCCCCTTTTCCAGCCACCTGTCCGTTTTCTTATCTCCTTTTACTTGTCTTTTATTTTCACTAACATCCCTTCCTTCTTTATCCACTCTTCCCCTATTAAAGCCCAACTCATACCGTCCTGCCTTTGATTTCCCCCTATTCCCATTTTCTTAATGTCTTTCCTTTCTGTCTTGACTTCAAATATGTATCAAGACTTAATATTTTGCATCAAATATCGGTGCCCAGCGAGCGATGTACGTCATCACACTCCACGATGATGTCCTGTCATTCATCCAAATGTTAGGCTGTCAATTAAATCAAAAAGTTTCCACTGTGTGTGTTGGGCAGTACAGGAGACTGATTCTCATTGCTTATCAAGTGTAATAAATAGAGCCAAATAAACAATTGTGAATATTGTAATGTGAAATAATATCAATTGGTAGCTGCTGTTTGAAACGCCAAATAACCTACAGCCATGAAAAGATTTTCACCCCTCCCAAATAAGAGGATGACACCCATTTTGCATCCCTTTGTGGACATTTTATTTACTTTTAAACATAATTTGATCTACCACTTCATATTTATTTTTCAAATGATGTGCAATGCCTTGTTTTAACATGCTGCTGTGACCAAACAAACAACCCTAATTGGGACCAATAAAGTATATCTTATCTGATCACCTTTTAGTTGTCAAAAGGAAAATAGGGGTAGTGTAGAAGGCATTTTTTAACATGTATATGGCATTTTCAGCAATATCCCATGAACTAATGCATGAACTGCAGATACAAAATGTGATGGACATTTCAATTATTCAAAGAAATTATTTAGATGAAGCGTTGATGGTATCCATTCTCTAGTTCTGTCACTCATTCACAAATTCACATTTCCTTACCTTCAAAGGGGCCATGGGGTCCATCTTGAACTTGTCGGGGAAAGCCCTGTTTAGTGCCAGATGGCGGGCGTGTACGTAGAACTGCAAAGCACAAGTCAGCAGAGATCTACATCAAACAACTGTACAACGTTTGACCGAACATCTTGGCAAGTTTTCTTTTGACATTTTTAAAAGATATTTTTCGTTGTACTAACACTAAAGATAACTCCACATTTACATCCAGTTGAAGAACATAATGGTGTTCGTTCCAATCAAGCTCAATTTCAAACAACCTAATCTGCTGTTTAAATACATCAAAAAAATGTTAGGCAGACAAACGGATTCAAAGACTGCTGTCAAACATCTATTTAGTGCCGATGCAGGGGAAACTGACCCGTCCCAGGTATCTCCAGTCCAGCAGGTCAGACAGCCTCTCTGTTCGGTTCCTCTGGATGATGCGCTGGCGCAGAGACTGCTGGCAGAAACTGAACATGAACTGGGTCAGCTGGTTACACGACTCCTCAGCTGAGCGGAAACGGCGGTCCACGATGTAAACACCTGACAGAGACAGAAGAGGGAGAATAGACCAGTGTCAATCTAAAAGTCCCTCAAAATGAAACAGCTCTTGGAGCTTTGAGATGAATCAGTAATAATAATACAACGTGTGTGTGTGTGTGTGTGTGTGTGTGTGTGTGTGTGTGTGTGTGTGTGTGTGTGTGTGTGTGTGTGTGTGTGTTTGTCCACACCGTAGGCAGCAGGGTCTGACACATGCTCCTCGATGAAGCAGCCGAAACCTGACAGGTTGGTGGTCACACTGGGAATGCCCATAACAGTACACTCACCTGGGGAAATACAACACAGCTCACAAAAGGTACGGTATATTTGTAGTAATGTGAATTGGTATCAAGTTAGAAAACACCCAATCAAAAAGCCATTAAAACGCTCCTCGATTCGTGGCTGAAGGAGCGGATTGCAGATTATACACGATGTTTACGTCTAAATCAGTTAACAATAGCTCATATGCCTTACCGGTCCCACAGAATTCACAAGGACTAATCTTTCATTGCCTCATGTAGAGATTTGTAACTACAGTGCCTCTGAACGTCTGTGTGTGTGGATATATGTGCACATTGAAATGATAGGTTACCAGGTGTGTAACCCCATGGTTCATAGTAGGAGGGGAATACTCCAAGGTTGCATCCACGAACAAAGTCCTCGTAGTCCATCGGCAGCAGAGGACTGGTGGAGGACAGGAACTCAGGGTGGAAGATAATCTAGAAGATGGTGTAGAAACATGAGAAGTAAACATATTCTGTCACTACCAGGATATTATTTATCAATGTTTTGGTACCTTCCAGCACATTTTTGGATTCTAGTGGCTTTGGTTAATCCCTGATTTCTACTCTAAAGCCTCTAGAAGTGAGTTTTCACAAGATGTAATGCATACATTTGTGTACAGATATTGGTGGTTCCACGAAAACAAACCCTTTTCCACAAACAACACCTTGACAATGACAATCTTGTTTTATTTTGTGAATCAACAACGGCCTATAGACTCTAAAAGCTGCTAGAATGGCTGCAAACGTTTAGCCTCTTAGATTCTTTTTACGAAATTATTTTTCACATGAAGCCCTTCTTGTTCCGACCAAAATTATGTCAGAATTGTACTTTATTATCACCAGGCAATTAGGAAAATTCCCACAGACTGACACCAGAAGACAACACAAAGAGGAAGCCCACTGTCTACCTTGACGCGATCGTTCCTGGAGTTGAACAGGCCGATGCGTCTGACGTTTGAAAGAATGGGATCTGTTGCGTCGTCAATCATGTTGTGAGTGGTTACCGGAGGGAGGGTGTGTCTCTGCATGGAGTTTTTGTTCAAAAGAGTGGACAGGTGTGTTTTGGTCATTTTTCAAGACTCGTCAAAAAGATGCCAGTATTTGTTTTTATTTTGAATAGAAGAATATATAGGGTCCATTACCTGAGTGGCGTAGATGGCTCTCTTCATAATGGTGAAGTCGTCTCGATCCAGAATGGAGTTCATGTCAGGGATCTGCCCTCTGGACAGAACAAACAATAAAGCACAAACATGGAACACACATTCTCATCATTCATCAGGGAGGACCAGTGTAGATGTACACATTGTAAAATCAATAGGACTGTGGGTTCACCTACAGTGTCATACTTACTTTAGCAGAGCATCATACAGCCTGTTACCAAACTTCTCCTTCACAGTGTGAGCTGTATCCCTGGGAAAGGGAAATGGAAACCTTTTTTAGTAATGTATGTTAGGGCTGCTTGATTATGGCAAAAATCATAATCTCGATTATTTAGGTCAATAATTGATATCACGATTATTAAAAACAATTATCCATTTACTTTGAAAACATACATTTATTGAGAAAAAAAAATGTGAATAGTATGTTTTTAACAGTTGATTACCCTGAACTTTAAGAACAACTCAACTGAAAAACCAATAAAAAAAAAAGTTAATAAAAAAAGAAAAAGAAAATTAATAATAATAATAAAAAAATAATCGTTTTATTTCGATTACGTTGTTTTCGTAAATCGTTGCAAGCCATAATCGTAATTGCGATTAAAATACGATTAATTGAGCAGCCCTAATGTAGGTTTTTATTTATTAGTAACCGAGACTCGCAAAACCCAAATTCATATGCTGTACATGATATGAAATGGGAAACTGAGACCGACTTGTACAGTATGGTTGGTGCTGCAAAGAAAAACAT